CTTGGTTTACATTTCACAGTTGCCTTAAAATTTTTGAAATGGAAATATGGAATTTTGTTTTTTTTTTTTTTTTTTGAAAAGGTTTCACTATCATGAAACATGTTTATTATTGTAATTGAAATCTGAGAGTATTCCTGTACTGCGTACACGTCAAGCCCAACACCATTGAAATTGAAATGTAATTTTTCAATTTCAAATTGAAATGGGATAATATTTTTTGCGATTTTTAAGGCAGCTGTACAGTTACAGCAACTCTATTAAAATTGAAATGGATTTTGTCAATTTCAATTTGAAATTTGAAATGGAGTAAATTTTCAATTTCCGGGCATCTATTCCTTGCTATTTGCTAATTTGATATTTGTCATTTGTTTTATATGTGAGACAGTGGCAGTGAAATATGTTGAGGAGTATAGAAATGAAGGGCTTGGCTCTTGTATGAAAAAAGCTAGAAGTTTTTTTTATTCACAAATTGGGGGATTTTTTTGAAATTTGGGTCATCGAAGTGCCTTTTTTTTTTTTTCTTTTTTCCTTCTTCTCCTGTCACGCATCACTAAAACATCTTCGTGTCATTCAAAAATTCTCGTCCCTCCAAATTCATTTGTTGCTCTGGTTTTTACTTGATAAACACAAACACCATGTCTTCATCCTTTTCTAAACACTTTGCCCACTTACAAATCCCACTGAAAGATATAGCATCCGCCACCAACAGCTTTTCTGATACAAATCTTATTGGAGAGAGTGCACTGAGAAAGGTTTACAAAGGAAGACTCTAGCGATCCAAACAACAGATTGATATTGTCGCAGAGAGGCTACTTGGTAAAGATGGAGACAAGAAGGCTATATTGCAGACGAGGATTTCGACTCTTTCTAGTCTTAAGCATGAAAATCTGGTCTCTGTTGTTGGGTTTTGTGATGAGAAAGATGAGAAGATCATCATATACAAGCACGAGGCCAATGGAAGTCTCGAAAAACATCTGAAAGACCCGTCTCTTACATGGATGCAAAGATTGGAAATATGTGTTGGCGTTGCACGTGCATTAAGTTACATCCATTATGATAAGGAACGCAATTTTAGCCTCATACATTGTAACATCAAGAGCTCCCAGATTTTACTAGATGCCAACTGGAATGCCAAGTTATCTGGTTTTAAATTTTCCAAGATAACGACAGCAGCTCGAAGAAATCGACTTCAGCTTGCAAATCTTAATGTCACCAAAGGGTATATGGACCCAAGTTATGAGAAGACTGGAGGCGTAACTCACAAAACAGACGTGTACTCGTTTGGGGTTGTATTATTTGAGATCCTTTGTGGAAGGAGAGCATACATTCCTGCGTGGCGTTCAGCTTATTCCACTAAACAACCTTGGAAAGAAGAGTTGCTGGATGTAGTGGAAAAATTGGATCAAATTGTGGAGCATGCCGGTCACCAAGATGTGATGGAAAAAGCGGATGTGGTGCGAAATTCGCATGCCGGGCGATTATCAGATGAACACTCCGCAGAGGAATTGCTGGATGTTGTAGGAAAATTGGACGATAGCGTCAAGCATGCGGGTTGTTCACCTCCACTGGCGAAACAAAATTCTGCTGAGAGGTCACAAGATGTGGTGAGAAAATTGGATAAGGGGCGTTCACCTCAACTGGTGAAAGAACACTCGATAGAGGGATTGTATGAGGGTGAAGGGCTTTCACCTAAGTTTGCCAATAAACAGGAAATACTTGATGTTGTGGGAAAATTGGATGAGACGGCCAGGAATGAGGGTCGTTCACATCAACTGGCTAAACCATCTATGAATGATATCACAGGGGAATTGGATGAGACGGCCAGGAATGAGGGTCGTTCACATCAATGGGCTAACCCTTCTATGAATGATATCACATTGGAATTGGATGAGATGGCTAGGAATGAGGGTTATTCACATCAATTGGCTAAACCATTTATGAATGATATCACAGGGGAATTGGATGAGACGGCCAGGAATGAGGGTCGTTCACATCAATGGGCTAACCCTTCTATGAATGATATCACATTGGAATTGGATGAGATGGCTAGGAATGAGGGTTATTCACATCAATTGGCTAAACCATTTATGAATGATATCACAGGGGAATTGGATGAGACGGCCAGGAATGAGGGTCGTTCACATCAATGGGCTAACCCTTCTATGAATGATATCACATTGGAATTGGATGAGATGGCTAGGAATGAGGGTTATTCACATCAAGGCTAAACCATCTATGAATGATATCACAGAGGAATTGGATGAGACGGCCAGGAATGAGGGTCGTTCACATCAATGGGCTAACCCTTCTATGAATGATATCACATTGGAATTGGATGAGATGGCTAGGAATGAGGGTTATTCACATCAATTGGCTAAACCATTTATGAATGATATCACAGGGGAATTGGATGAGACGGCCAGGAATGAGGGTCGTTCACATCAATGGGCTAACCCTTCTATGAATGATATCACATTGGAATTGGATGAGATGGCTAGGAATGAGGGTTATTCACATCAATTGGCTAAACCATTTATGAATGATATCACAGGGGAATTGGATGAGACGGCCAGGAATGAGGGTCGTTCACATCAATGGGCTAACCCTTCTATGAATGATATCACATTGGAATTGGATAAGATGGCTAGGAATGAGGGTTATTCACATCAAGGCTAAACCATCTATGAATGATATCACAGGGGAATTGGATGAGACGGCCAGGAATGAGGGTCGTTCACATCAATGGGCTAACCCTTCTATGAATGATATCACATTGGAATTGGATGAGATGGCTAGGAATGAGGGTTATTCACATCAATTGGCTAAACCATTTATGAATGATATCACAGGGGAATTGGATGAGACGGCCAGGAATGAGGGTCGTTCACATCAATGGGCTAACCCTTCTATGAATGATATCACATTGGAATTGGATGAGATGGCTAGGAATGAGGGTTATTCACATCAAGGCTAAACCATCTATGAATGATATCACAGGGGAATTGGATGAGACGGCCAGGAATGAGGGTCGTTCACATCAATGGGCTAACCCTTCTATGAATGATATCACATTGGAATTGGATGAGATGGCTAGGAATGAGGGTTATTCACATCAAGGCTAAACCATCTATGAATGATATCACAGGGGAATTGGATGAGACGGCCAGGAATGAGGGTCGTTCACATCAATGGGCTAACCCTTCTATGAATGATATCACATTGGAATTGGATGAGATGGCTAGGAATGAGGGTTATTCACATCAATTGGCTAAACCATTTATGAATGATATCACAGGGGAATTGGATGAGACGGCCAGGAATGAGGGTCGTTCACATCAATGGGCTAACCCTTCTATGAATGATATCACATTGGAATTGGATGAGATGGCTAGGAATGAGGGTTATTCACATCAATTGGCTAAACCATTTATGAATGATATCACAGGGGAATTGGATGAGACGGCCAGGAATGAGGGTCGTTCACATCAATGGGCTAACCCTTCTATGAATGATATCACATTGGAATTGGATGAGATGGCTAGGAATGAGGGTTATTCACATCAATTGGCTAAACCATTTATGAATGATATCACAGGGGAATTGGATGAGACGGCCAGGAATGAGGGTCGTTCACATCAATGGGCTAACCCTTCTATGAATGATATCACATTGGAATTGGATGAGATGGCTAGGAATGAGGGTTATTCACATCAAGGCTAAACCATCTATGAATGATATCACAGGGGAATTGGATGAGACGGCCAGGAATGAGGGTCGTTCACATCAATGGGCTAACCCTTCTATGAATGATATCACATTGGAATTGGATGAGATGGCTAGGAATGAGGGTTATTCACATCAATTGGCTAAACCATTTATGAATGATATCACAGGGGAATTGGATGAGACGGCCAGGAATGAGGGTCGTTCACATCAATGGGCTAACCCTTCTATGAATGATATCACATTGGAATTGGATGAGATGGCTAGGAATGAGGGTTATTCACATCAATTGGCTAAACCATTTATGAATGATATCACAGGGGAATTGGATGAGACGGCCAGGAATGAGGGTCGTTCACATCAATGGGCTAACCCTTCTATGAATGATATCACATTGGAATTGGATGAGATGGCTAGGAATGAGGGTTATTCACATCAAGGCTAAACCATCTATGAATGATATCACAGGGGAATTGGATGAGACGGCCAGGAATGAGGGTCGTTCACATCAATGGGCTAACCCTTCTATGAATGATATCACATTGGAATTGGATGAGATGGCTAGGAATGAGGGTTATTCACATCAATTGGCTAAACCATTTATGAATGATATCACAGGGGAATTGGATGAGACGGCCAGGAATGAGGGTCGTTCACATCAATGGGCTAACCCTTCTATGAATGATATCACATTGGAATTGGATGAGATGGCTAGGAATGAGGGTTATTCACATCAAGGCTAAACCATCTATGAATGATATCACAGGGGAATTGGATGAGACGGCCAGGAATGAGGGTCGTTCACATCAATGGGCTAACCCTTCTATGAATGATATCACATTGGAATTGGATGAGATGGCTAGGAATGAGGGTTATTCACATCAAGGCTAAACCATCTATGAATGATATCACAGGGGAATTGGATGAGACGGCCAGGAATGAGGGTCGTTCACATCAATGGGCTAACCCTTCTATGAATGATATCACATTGGAATTGGATGAGATGGCTAGGAATGAGGGTTATTCACATCAATTGGCTAAACCATTTATGAATGATATCACAGGGGAATTGGATGAGACGGCCAGGAATGAGGGTCGTTCACATCAATGGGCTAACCCTTCTATGAATGATATCACATTGGAATTGGATGAGATGGCTAGGAATGAAGGTTATTCACATCAATTGGCTAAACCATTTATGAATGATATCACAGGGGAATTGGATGAGACGGCCAGGAATGAGGGTCGTTCACATCAATGGGCTAACCCTTCTATGAATGATATCACATTGGAATTGGATGAGATGGCTAGGAATGAGGGTTATTCACATCAAGGCTAAACCATCTATGAATGATATCACAGGGGAATTGGATGAGATGGCCAGGAATGAGGGTCGTTCACATCAATGGGCTAACCCTTCTATGAATGATATCACATTGGAATTGGATGAGATGGCTAGGAATGAGGGTTATTCACATCAATTGGCTAAACCTTCTATGAATGATATCACAGGGGAATTGGATGAGACGGCTAGGAATGAGGGTCATTCACATCAATTGGCTAACCCATCTATGAATGATATAACAGGGGAATTGGATGCTAGCTTTGAACACGAGAGGCATCCACCACGGTCATTTCAAGACACGAGGCAGGAAACAGCAGACAACTTTTTTCAGCCGATGTCAATAGGGGGGATTCTTGATATGAGGCATTCACACGGAATATCATACAACTATAGGCCACCATCATTTGGAGCAATGGAGCAATTGACAATATTATACAATTCTACTCCGCCATCACTTGGGGAAGTTGGGCACATGAGGTATCCTATTTCGCCGGAGTCATATGGGCAGCCACCCTCGGTGCGGGATAGACCACGTCTAGACAAAGAGTTTTTAGCTCCATTGGCCATATTCCATTATGATGAAGGGACATTGGAGGATATTATAGATCCGGATCTCTGGAAGCAAATCGATAAAGATTCTTTCAAAATCTTTTCAGAAACAGCATATAACTGCTTAAAGGAGGAACGAGGAGAACGGCCACACATAGATCAAATTATCATAAGACTTGACAAAGCCTTGGATCTGCAAAGGAAACATGAGAATAATGTAAGACCAACATTTTTTTTTTTAGTTTCTTTTCTTTCATCTTTCATATATTAGATCAACTTAGATATTCATTTTGTTATCTCTCGTTCAACTGGTTGCAGTTAAAATTAAAGGAGAAACCAGAAGTTGCCTCTGAAGTTGAAGGTACATCAACCAATCACGTGAAGGTAATTAGTTCAAGTATTTTTGTTAAATAGAAGATATCCTGCTTTAATTTTAAAATGATATACAGAAAAAGGAAATTCAAAATATTATGCATATTGATACACACACAGTAAGAAGGAATGCAATTCGGTTGTTAGCAAACACCGAAAATCATAAAAGGGAATGGAAAAAAAAACAAATAAGAATAATATCATAAACAATGCGTCAATGCCATTGGATTGGGGAGTTGTTTCAGATTGTTCATTTAAGGTTGTTTTTCGTAATACACAATTTTAATTGTTTAAATAACATACAAGAGTAAATTATATAAAAATAGTCCTGGTGGTTCAGTGAAATACACAAATATAAGTTCAAGTTTCTAAATTTATGTACCACACGACGATTGGTCCTTTGGTTTAACTCCGGTAGAAAATTCAGTTAAATGTGTGTAAAATGACCGATATACCCTTAATTTTGTATTTTTTTTTATTATTTTATCATTTTCTTAATGTTATTAGTCATCTATAAATATATTAAGGGTACACCAACATCAACCACCCATCATCCGGCTTTCTCCTCCCCTCACTAGCCATCTTTTCCGGACCATATCAAATCAGTCTCATCTCATGATTTTCAATACATAAATTAATTCCAAATAATATGCTGCCTCCATTTCAATTTATTAATACTGGAACTAATTAATCGGCTTTTTTCATTTGTTACCACATAGGCTGATCCACACAGGTTTTCTTAAATTTCGTTTTGCTATCACATAAGTTAATAACCATTTTTTAGAAAAAGAAGTCAGTTGTTTTAAATAAACAATCCGAGACGCCCTTATGTATTCTTCTTAGACGTTTATTACTAAATTATTGATATGTTGCGAATACATAAAATAATTTTTCATAAAGGTTTTAGTTTTATATTTCTTTTCAAAAGTTTCAAAGACTATTGTTTAATATAAGTGAGAAATCTAGAGGAGTGGGCGTTTGATATTTTTTTACGAGCATCATTCGTACTGTTTGAGTGAAAAGAATAAAAATAGTTGAATGTATACTTTTGTTGATTTTCTGTTTCGAATCATTAAGAATCAGTAGGTGTTTTGAATTTGAGACTGTAATAGAACTGAAAAGTTATAAACCAAGTTGAGAAAAAGAAAAAAAAAACCGAATAAAGTAAATCGCCAGTCGCCACACCCTCAACCCATCCCCTGCCTATCAAAGAAGCACCGTGACCATCACAAAATCAACCTAGAGTCCGGGACATGAAGAAAAATGAACTAAGGTATTTTTTCAAAAAAAAAAAAAGAACAGATAAATGAAAAGAAGTGTGAGAGAATAAGAGAATTGGAGTCCATAAAGACAACAGATGTTCTTATAAATTTCATTCTCAGCCTTATTAATCTCATGTACCTTATTGCACAATATAACACTTATTTCCCCTGTCATACAATGTTGCAGTGGAAGGGCATGGAACACTTGATGATTAGATATAATGATATAGAGATGGCCACTTCAAAATTTACTCAGAACCGCATTGGGTATGGTGGATTTGGTGATGTCTACAAAGCTGAACTTGAACATTTTGATATTGAAAAATCTTCGGCAGGAGAAAAGAATCTAAATGATCTACCCAAGATATGCAGCAGTGTAGCTGTAAAACGCCTCTTCAAAAGATCAGGGACAGAAGCAGACACATCGTTTGCTGCAGAAATTAAAACGCTTACAAGTTGTAAGCATCCCAACGTAGTCTCTCTTCTTGGCTTTTGTGATGAAGGTTCTAAGATGTTCTTGGTCTACGAGTATGTTCCTAAGGGAAGCCTTGATGACAATTTGTGAAGTAAAGATAACATGATTAATCTTAAATGGGCAATGCGTCTGCAAATCTGTCTTGATATTGCAGAGGGATTGCATTACCTTCATACCCAAAAGAAGATAATACACCGAGACATAAAGAGTGCCAACATTCTGCTAGACCATAAGTGGAGGGCAAAGATTGCTGATTTTGGGCTCTCCAAAATCATTCCCGAGAGTCAACAGGTCAGTTATTTCCATACAAAAGTTTCAGGTACAATTGTCTACTTGGATCCTGAATATAAGGATAGAAAGATATTAAGGACAGCATCGGATATTTATTCTTTGGGAGTTGTTTTATTTGAGATCGTATCCGGAACGTTGGCCTATGATACAAGGTACACTAAGGAAAATCCCAAGGGGATTGCACACTTCGCCCGACAACACTTCAATAAGGGAACACTAACGTCAATGTTAGATCCTATTCTAAAGGAAGAGATTGATGAAAACAATTTTACTTTAAGTAAAGGGCCCAATACAGGTTCTTTGAAGACATTCCTAAATATTGCACACAAATGTTTGGCAGAGACTCAAGCCGACCGTCCAAAAATTGGATATGTCATCAGCAAAATCAAGGATGCAATGAATCTTCAAGTAAGTCAATTTTCTCTTCATATACACTAATAGATAATTATGCATACATTAGGCTCCCGTAGGTCAACATTTTAAAACTATAACTTCTTTTTGAAAAATTCTTGATCCTTTTTAGCAAGTAGCATGATCAATCCTTATAATGTTACACTAAAAATATAGAAAGTAAGCTTTACTACTGAAGCTTGCAAATCGAATCAGAGAATATTGACTCTTGTAGTATGTGATTAGGAGCAGTGTGTTGTAAGATTTCAGTAATTCCCGAAATTTGGAAAACCACGAAGAACACAATATTAAAACTCGATGATTAGGAGATCACAAGATTACAAGATTGTTCATGTTTGGCTGTGAATAGGGGTGGAGAAGAGATAATTTAAAAAAAAACTATCTAATAACTCTATATATAAAAATTAAATAAACAATGTTTCCAAAACTGGACCGGACACCGAACCAGCGGCGTTACCTGTTCGACAGTTCAAGTGGTCGACCGTCAGAGATCGGTACTCGACCCTTAAAACGGGATGAAATACTCACACACACACACACACACACACACACACATATATATATATATATATATATATATATATATATAGCCAGGTTCTTTTGAAAACCAAAAGATTTGTGACAACTTGCAAACTCATAATCAACTCATCACTTTTCAACACCAAAATCACCAATCTTCTCTAAATGGTGCGTCTAAGCCATATCTAGGCTAACAAAAAAGATTTGATGAATGTTTTTATTTTTTTTATTTTTTTGGTTTTTTTGTATGACTGCTGATGAGCACAATCAACAGTTGTACGGACCGCTGATTGCTCATCAGCAGTCCATATGGCTGCTGATTGTGCACATTCGCAGTCCATATGATTGCTGATTAGCAGTCCGTACAACTGCTGATTGTGTATACATGCAAATTTCGAAAATAAATAAAAAAAATTGTCAAATATTTTTTTTAAGCCTAGATATGGCTTAGACGCACCATTTGGAGAAGATTGGTGTTTTTGGTAAGTTTAGTGATTAACTTTATAATTTATTTATATTTGGTTATACAATGTAACACAAAAAGGTATTTTAATGAAATTTACCAAACGGTTTTGGAATTATGTAAAGTCTACTTGAATTGTTTATAATATCCTTCATAATATTATTAAAATAATAAGTACGTTGTTGAAAAATTTAAAACAAATTTATGTTAAATAATATAACATAAATTAAGGTGGGAAGTGGTTTGAAGAGGAGGGTCTAGTGATGTGCTACACAATAGTTTTTAAGTAAGAAGTCTTTTAAAAACAAACAACTATGAAAGGCCAAGTTTGCGTGTGCTCTACATGGCGCAGCCATAAATGGTTTTTAAAAACAAACAAACAACCCCTTACTAAATATGGCACATGGTTGCATGTATGCCGACTTAGGCGTAAACATTATGCAGATTATGTGATTGTTTGAACATAAATTCAATGCAAATGATTATGGCACAAAGCTCACTTAGTCGCAAACAAAAAAATAACAACCAGGCCTTGAATGTGATAATACTTTTAGCCTGATTTTCAAACACACAACTATACAGACCGTGCTTAGCTTTGTCGTTTCCTGACAATAGCCTGGATGTTAAAAATGCATTCCTTTACGACCACCTCTCTGAGATGTTTTCATGCATCAACCGCCCGGTTTCACAAATCCGACTTTCCCACTCCACGTTTGCAAATTATAAAAGTCTCTTAAAGGGCTAAAATTGGCCCCATGTGCTTGGTTCCAAAGATTTAGTTTCGACTTTGGCCAAAACAAAAACTGGCCTTCTCTCTTCATTCTGTGTTGAGGGCAAGAGCTTGCATGTCTACCTTTATATGTAGATGATATCATCCTCACAGCTTCCGGCAAGACTCATGTCACATATTTACACCTCAGTGTCGAGTTTTCCATGACAGACTTGGGGCCACCGAAGTATTTTCTCGGAATCCCACGAACATATATGGAAAACTATATCATGTGTAAGAATTTGGTTGATCCGGCTTCTAAAATCGATGCAACCGGAAAACCAGTTTCTGACCCTTCTCTCTATTGTAGTCTTGCTGCGAGATTGTAGTACATGACATTTACAAGAACAAACATCTCTTTTGTTGTCCAACAAGTGTCTTTACATGCACGATCCATGGGCCCGCACCTTCATGCACTCAAGCGCATCCTACGCTACATTAAACGCACTCTAGACCACGAACTTCCATTACGTCCTCGGGTCTAACAACTTACTCTGATGCCTATTGGGGATGATGCCTAGTCACCTAGTGTTCAACATCTAGTTATTGGATCTTCCTAGTCAAGATCTAGTATTGTGGTCCTCTGAACGACAACACACCGTTTATCGATTGTGCATTGAGGTCAAGTATCAAGGCGTAGCCAACGTTGTGGACGAAACTGGATGGCTTCACAATCTCCTACGAGAAATTCATCTCCCAACTCGTTTTGCTGCTATTGTCTCTTGTGCCAATGTTGGTTCCATATACATGTCAACAAATCCGGTTAAACATCAGCGGATTGAACACATCAAGATTCATATGCACTTTGTCCAAGATAAGGTCGATGTCGGTCATTTCGCGTCCTTCACGTCCAGTCTCGATATCAGTATGCTGACATGTTCACCAAAGGGCTTCCATCTCTGTTCACAGATTTTGAGTTTTGTATCAGTTGAGTGTTTGTTCTTATCCCGCTCAAACTACTGAGGCATATTAGTAGATAGCTTATAATCCGTCACAGTTCTTATAGATCAGCCCATGTATAGCCCAAGCATTGTATTTGGTGTGGGTGTGTGTATATATATATATATATATATATATATATATATATATACACACACACACACACACACATAGGGGCGGATGCAAGATTTCATACTAGGTGTTGCCGGTGCCACAATAGTAGAAAAAAAATTTCAAAATTTTCTGGACTGCATACACGGAAGTCAGGCGTTGTCGGTGCTACTGTGGTACATCATATTATATATATATATATATATATATATATATATATATATATATATATTGTTGTATCATGTACATTCATGATTCAAGGAAATATACCAACTATTAAGAAGAAGAATCCTTTCATTTTTGTTGCTAAACTAATTTAGTTACTTTGATTTCAAAATATTTCAGTTTGGGACGAAACACATATCTATACATATCAGTGGAACAACCATAGAACCAAAATAGATTTTGATATGAGTTAATTCCAATTTAGTTTGAATTTTTAAAAACGATTGGGGTCCTGATATTATTTACAGGAAAACCACAGGGATAATCTCAAGATTTCACTTGAAGATATAAAATTGGCCACTAATAACTTCAGTGATAACAACCTGATTGGAAGAGGAGGATCTGCGAGAGTTTATAAAGGGGAAGTTACTCGCGCTAACCGATGTTATACAGTTGCTGCAAAACGATTGAATAATGATGGTGGTCAACACAAAAATGAATTTATGACAGAACTTGAAATTCTTCAGGATTATAAACATGAGAGTGTCATTGGTCTTGTAGGCTTTTGCTACGAAAAGGTCGAAAATATTATTGTTTATGAGTTTGCATATAGAGGAAGTCTTGATATGCACTTGAAGGACTATGGCCTTACATGGATGAAACGGCTTCAGATAAGTATTGATATTGCAAGCGGGTTGGATTTCCTTCATGGATCCGGAGGTGATACACAAGAGGTGGTGATACATAGAGACATCAAAAGCTCAAGCATTCTACTCACTGATGATTGGAAAGCAAAAATTTGTGATTTTGGGATTTCCTTAATAAGTCCAATAAATAACGAAATGGACTTTGTCACCGACAATGCTTGTGGCGCAATAAATTATCGTGACCCAGTGTACTTGAAACTGGGCTACTTAACAGAGCACTCTGACATCTACTCGTTTGGTGTAGTTTTAATTGAGATCTTATGTGGGAGATTAGTACATGAAGACAACAGTATCCAAATTGCAGATCTAACAGGTTTGTATAAAAATCATTATGAAAATGGAACACTAGATGAGATTGTGTTTGGAGGTATAAAGGAACAAGCTGTGCCAGAATCATTGATTGCATTTCAAAAGCTTGCTTATGAATGCTTATATCATGAAAGAGAAAAGCGACCAACAACACATGAGGTGCTACTACAACTGAAGAAAGCATTGGAATTTCAAGTAAGATTACACATTATTTGGAATTTGTTTTCATTTATTGTGTTTACAATGTGTAAATAAATAGGTATCAAGGCATAACTAAACTTAAGTGTTTTAATGAATATTAAACAATATTTTTTCATAAGCAATAAATAAATAGAGGGTATGAGTAATATAAAGACCATTTGGTTGAATTTATTATTTTCATCGTAAAGTGAAAAAAGAAAAAGAATATATGAATGAAATTGAGTTGCTTATTAAAATGCAGATAATTGTATGGTGCTAGAATTGAAATATTGATTTTCTTATTGATAAATAATATACAGGAAGATTATGTAATATGGAAGCCCAAATTGCCTAATGACTATGAAGAAATATTCAAGATGTCAAATTCTTGTGATGTCTACTCTACCGAAAAGAAAAAGGAACTCTACAACATGCTCCGCAAAGGAATCCTTCTTCAACATGACAAAGTGGTAATTAGCTCCTTCTCATATCCGTGTTCTGTTTTCTGTACAATCCAATTATCCAAGCATTTTTTGTTCTTTAAAATTCATAAAGGCCGATAGACATTTTCAATTTTCCGGTTTATGTAATTTCACTCGATCTTTCAAATGACCATATCTTAAAGTACCACAAAACCCTCCAAGTTTAGAACTAAAGTACTCTTGCTTCTGATTGTTCACAATTATTGGTGAGTCCCGGGGCCATGTATCCATCTTTGGAACCGGAACCATACCGATGTAAATTGTTCTGGTTCCGGTTCCTAAAATATGGAAGTGATAGGGACCTGTTTTGATTCTGGATTTCTGGTTCTTACTATTTTGAACCTCTACCCCTTGGATACTATTTGGAACCGGTTTCAAGATATATAATGTTCTCTTATTGTTTTATTATCTAAAAACTTGACTGAACTTTTGCATTTTTTCTTTAATTACTGTTCAAACAAAAACTAATTATGTTTATACAGAAATACTTGTTAAACTAATCGTCATTTTTGTTAAATGTTAATAGGATTTAGTAGCAAACTTTGATTTAATAAAGATCTCTACAGGTTGATGTGTAGGTTTTGAAGAGACTTCATATTAAATACTAAAAATGATATTTTGTGATCTCCTAATAACGGATACTCTAATTTATAATGCTTGCTAATAAATACTAGAGCTATATAATGTTTCTGTCATTCTTTTCAATCCTATTATATAATATAATGTCTAAAGACAATTCATTGTATTTTGTTATAGATATATCTTTAGTCACTCTTGTCAATTTGCAAAGCTGGGCTTTATATTGCTTGTTAATAATGATACAACTTCTCATGCAAATAGAAAATAGTTATCCAATTTATAATACTAATTAAATTTATAAGTGTGAACCAAACTCCCCCTTATAGGTTTTATAGGTTGAAATGATTAATGCTTATCGTTTATAATAGTTATTTTTGGTTTTTATGGTTTCTAATGTTATTTTTATGGTTTGTTATGACTACATCTGAAAAAACTTTAAGAAGCGGGTACCCAGTACCGGAATGGGTTTACAAATTCTAAGGAATCGACCGGTTCCGATTCGAACATTCCAAGAACCGGAACCCGGTTCTGGTTTCAGGAAATTAAGGCGGGACCCGCTTAGGCTCACCCTTAATCACAGTTGCTTTCTATGACATCCTTTACAAAAGATAGCATTCATTTATTACGCTATTTTCAATTCTTTTAATTTAAAAATGAATATCTCCATAAGAATCGTACATGTACTTACACATAATAGAAATTGAGTTGGATATGTTTTTTCTTGTATAACAGTTGTTTTCACTAGGAGATAATGGAGAAAGAAATGAAATGATATCAGCACGAAAGTTTTCATACAAACACTGTCTGTCACATAAGTGGCAATCAATTCCAGAATCAAGGTTCCACTCTCTTTCTCTGTGTCGATGTGTTTTTATGTGTGGGTGTAAAGATGCACCCTCCTTCTTAATTTCATTGTAATTTTGGATAGGGATTCGGATATAAACATTAATATGTTACGAAATATGCAGGTTTCCTAAAGTAGCGAAGATGTCAGATCTTTCGAATCTAAAGATCCGATTAAAGATAAGACCTCAACTTTTAGCTCGTGGTGTCAATTATAGTGTTCATCTCTTCTTTAAATTTTGTGGTCCAAGAAAATCTCTAGCTAAAGGGATGTACGTGAACTTGAAGTACAAATTGGGGATCGAGACCTTACATGCATATTTCGCAACATGGAGAGAAGATGGGTGGATGATGATTGAATTGTGTCGATTCTCAAATGACAAGGAAGATATTGATTTTGAGTTTCTACTAGAGAGCTTTTCACAATGCTATTGTGGAAGTCGTGCCATCTATGTCGAAGGCATTCAGTTTCTAGCCATTGACAATGCAAGTTTCAAAATATTCTTTGGTTCCCATTCTATATGCTTTGTTTGTATACTGTAAAAAAGGATTCATGGACAACACTTTCATGTTCTAGGTTACATGTTTATAACATCCTCGTACAACTTGTGTACAGGTGAAAGATGTAGAAATCGATGAATTAAAGAATGTCCCAAAAGTCTTGAAATCAGACTTAAACATGGACCAGTTGCAAAAATTGCCAACTAATTGTGAAGAAATATTTAATGATGGTGAAAAGATTCTTTTGCTGGTGAATGGAAAGAAACATCTTATGCTTTCAGCGAAGGCGGCTCTTTTGGAATATCCTAATGCAATGCCATTTCAGATGAAACCATCAACTCAATCCAGGTTTGTGATTTGAATCCAACTTAATTATGCCTATAAAAGTTTAGCAATGCTTAGCTTTGTTTAGCTAAATATTAAATAAAATTGATCATGATAACCAAGATGTCATAATTGGAAGTCAGAGTCTTGTGTATTTGATAATAAAGTACCAATGATGCATCAATACCTTATTGAGAAAAGTTATATTTTATCCAAGTGATTTCAAAGACTTCAATAAAAGGTATATATGTAATGACATATGTATGTGCAGATTCGGAGAGGAGATTGAGCTCCTACCACAGCAAGTACTCCGTATCAATTGCAGGATAAAAAGTGAATGGTTATCCAGAGATACGGAGTATGTGTGCTACCTTGTGTTTAAGATTTCAGAAAAATGTATTGGGCTGCATTGTCCTGTGAAAGTACATAATTTACTCCATGGAAACAACAAAAAGCCTGAAATTCTTTATTTTAGATGCCCATGGCCTTGGAATTTACATGATACAAATCAAGCTCCAAAACAACGGGCCGATGGATGGATGGAGGTTAGGGTTTGGAAATTGAACTCAAAGCACAGACTTGAAAATGATCATTTTCATGTCAAATTGAAACTAATTATTTACGAAGGAACTATGTCAGGCCTTATCTTATGTGGTCTGGAATTTCGAGCAATGTAAGAATATATACAATGAAATGATGAATGCAAACTCACTCAACAATACATTTGTGCATTCTTACGTATATATTATTTTTTATATAATAAATAAACATGTAGCAGTATAATCGCAACAATCTTTTTAAGATTTGTAATTTTACATATTAAACTAGGGGTGTTATTAGGGCCGGAACCGAAAACCGAATAAGACTAATTGGAGAAATCGAAAGCCAGACTGATTAATCTAATACGGGTTCGGTTCTTACCCGAATAAATCGAGTCCGTTGGTTTTTCATGCCCAGGGCAAAAAAGCTTAATAATGCCCCTTTATGTTAAATGTATGTGATATTAAATAGTAAAAAGTGTTTATATTATTTAATTTATAGGTTATGCAAACAAAATCTAGTCATATTTATTTAGTATAAAACTATAAAAATACATGCCGACCAAATATGATGGTCTAAATGCACGGAAAAACAAATTGAATTTAGATTGTAAAGCATCAAACAACTTTTTTAAACTAAAAGTGGGGAGCTTGTCATAAAACAAAGTGTATATTACACCAAAAGAATAATGAAATAGGATGAACGACAATTCAACACCAAGTAATATTTGCATTATCAATACCAAGGCCAATAAAACACATTAAAAAAAATTAGCATGCTACCATGTTGAATACGACACATTACAATAAAAAAAAAAAAATAAAAAAATAAAAAAGTTTAACATGCTATCATGTTAATATGAAGTAAGAAACAAGTTGGTTGCAAAAAAAAACAAATTTTCTACATCCAAAAAACAGGAAATCAAATTTTATTTCATACCAAAATTAATGGGCACAAACAAATCATAACAAAAATGTTTTGTACTTGAAAGGAGAAAAAATATAAAAATTGTGTGCTTTTGATAAAAACTCTCTTAGTTCCTTCCTTGGTATTGAAAGCATAAACTACATAATAGACACCAAGAACTAAAAACGTGTCTCTTTTTAGAAGATAATCCACTTAACAGTATGTGGAAGAATGATGAATCTCACACAAAGCTATCAACTTTATTTAGGATTCATACATTTCTTGTAGTTATTTATGATTTAAAATGGAGGTTCTAAGTTCTTGTTAGATACCAATTCATGGTAAATTCATGGTAAAACCTAGGAAGATTAGGCTAAAAAACTAAGGGATTACAACCTATGAATGCCTATAAAAAAATTTCTTAAATTATTAACAGAAAATATAAAAAAATGAAAAAGTACAAACAATAATAAGAAGAGTGAAAACCAACCTTAAAGCCATAATTATAAAAGATGAACATCATGACTTTAAAAACCAACAACAAGAGCAAAAATAAGATTAACCCACCACAAGATTGGCACACTCTAGTTAGAAAAGACAAGCAAAAAAACAGTAAGAAAACATTTTTCAGTTTGTAAAAGCTTCGAAACCAAGTTAAGCTAAAAACTAAACTGTTTGATGTGTTTTGGAAAGCAGACAAATTCAAAAGCAAGAGGAGAAGCAATTACTTGTTCATGACAGAAAGAAAAGGGACTAGAACAAACCATAAAAACTTCTTAAAAGCTAATACCCAATAAATTAGACAACAAAATTAGTACATACGTATTTTCATATGAGTCTTTCCACTTCATTTGACAAATCCTTGAAATCACGTGTTCTTGCATCTAGTTATTATGATTCAGCCAAAAAGAAATACAATGAAAAAAAATAGAAAACTCAAGAAACCAATGAAAGTTTCAGTGTTATGGAAACGTGAAACAAAATCGTAAATTAAAAACTCAAGATAGTTTCTAGTATTCAGATAGCAATTTATTCGGGATTTTAATTTCAAGGCTTCAAGCGACCCGTCTCCTTGTTTTCTGAAATAGCGTGAAGGCATGCCGACTCCTCGACTTCTAAAATTGGCGCTGATTTTCTTTTTCCCGCTTTCAATAGCTTAAGTGGCGATGCCCTACTACCGTTGAACTTGGACTAACTGTGTATCTGGACTAAAAATTGGGCCTATATTAATACTAACCCATAAGAAGTAGATGAAACCTGATGCCCCTTATATCTTGCTGCCCTGGCTATGGCCCAGTTCGCCCGACCTTTGGGGCGGCACTGTGACTAAGAACCAAAAAGAACTGAATAAAACCGAATAAACCGTATTGTTTTTAAAGCCTCGTTTCTCTTTCTCCTAATCTCGTCAAAATATATCAAAAAATCAACTGATGTTTATTTCTTCCTTAATTAGGATGGACATCAAAATTTAAAGTTGATGAACACTCGGTATTAACTCTTTGATCGAAACAGCTCTCGATTAGGGTTTCTCAGTGAGGAAGCCGCATTTAAAGAATACGTCGAGAATATCCTGATGCGAATAATATATAGTTTGGACATTTACATCCAGACCCTTCTCTCTTTTCTTATTGCAAATTAATCCTCAGCAGCACCAGCTTCACGCTTTAGGGCTTTAGGCTACTTTCACTTTCATTATTAGTCCCTGATTGATAAGCTAACAGCAACTTAGGCCCACTTTTACTAATGTTTGATACATTTACCTATATAACCAACTAGGCTTGGCAATTGGGTTGGGTTCGGGTTGGCGGGTCAGAATACATTAACCCAACTCAACTCATATAATATATGGGTTGATGGATTGACGGATCACGGGTTGTCGGGTTGAAAACATCAACCCAACCCATATAACCCATATAAAGGGTCTGTGGGTTCGTGGATCAGCGGGTCGAACCCAACCTGTATAACCTATTTAATAAGCAACACATTTTAAAATGAAATAAAAAAATACAAATAAAATAAAGTCATAAAGTCTTAAATATTCAACATAAAGTCATAAATAGGAGTGACAACGACGAGTGGTGTGTGACAGCCGTAGGACGAGAAGACGAGTGGTGTGCGTGCAATACCGCGACAGTCGATGACTCGATGCCTTAATCGGCGAAGACGGGAGACACGGAGTCGTGAGTTTGGAGACTGAAGACTGAATTTCTTTTTTGAGTTGGGGATTCTTAGGGGCTAGGACACGCTAAGTCGACGCGAAGTTGTTTTGCAGTTTTGGAATTCGGAAAACGATTAAACGATAATCAAATATTCAAAATTGATAAATAATTAAATATATTTCTTAAACATAATATATATATATATATATAATATATTATATATATATATATATATATATATATATATATATATATATATATATATATATATATATATATATAATCGGGTTGGCGGGTTGACCCGCAAACCCAAACAGATAACCCAACCCAACCCATGAAATAAACGGATTAGCGGGTTGGCGGGTAAAAAATCTCAACCCAAACCGGTTTATTTTCGTGTTGGGTTAGTGTCGGGTTATGGGTTAGGTCGAGGATTGCCACCCAGCTTCATGCTTTAAGGCTTCCGGCTACTTTCACTTTCACTATTAGTCCCTGATTGATCAGCTAACAACACCTTAGGCCCACTTTTACTAATGTTTGATACATTTACCTACATAACCAACATTTCAAGTTAGAACATTTCTATAACAAACACTATATTACAAGTTTGGATAATCAAAAGCATTAAAACTTTTTAACACCAACTTCAAGTACATTTGACATTCCCAATTTATAAAACAAATAAGGGTTGTTATTGAATTTGTAAAAATAAACTTTTCAAAAGGTTTTTAAGTTTCCAACAAATATGTTTTATTAAAAGGGTAAGCAACCCATACTTTGTATTTATAATTCCACATCTCACTTCTCTTTTCAATATTAGGCACATATTTTATTATTTGTCACGAATTTGATACGAACAATTTTTTTATGAATTCGTCACAAATTTAATTAACTTTACAAATTTATTTTTCTACAAGACTTTTTTCAGAAGTTTTTGCAACTTTTTTTTATTTTTTTTTATATATAAAGTTTTATAGATTTCCTTAGTTTCTATTTTCCTTTATTGTTTTAGCTAAATTCTCCATCTTAGACAATTACGATTTGTAGCATAAATAAAATAACTTAGATTTATGTTTTTTTTTTTCTAAAGATATAGTTGCTGGCCTAGGAAATTTTTTAGAGAGTTTTGATTAATACTGTGATTTGAGATACATCTGAGGACAACGGTGTATGACTATGATTTTTGTAATATTCTAAATTTTCAAATAAAATTTTCATTTTTAAATCCACATAAAACACAGTTTAACATTTATCATACTCAATTTATAAATTATTTCAAACACAAGACATAAAATTGTTTGTCAAATATCTCAGAATCCTCGAAACACAAATCAACTAGCTTGTGTGTACAATCAAGCCGGCGCCTCCCCGCGATCCTGAGATGTATCTGAAATACATTTCACGCAACACTGTAAGCACAAAGCTTAGTGAGTTCCCCAAAATACCACACACAAATAATTAGCCTCTCATGGCTATATCTCGATAAGGACCCTCCGGTCATGTGTCTCAGTGAGGACCCTTCGGTAGACCTGGCAAAATATGGCACGACACGACAACTCGGCACGAACCCGACACGAAGTTAGCGGGTTAGGGTCAGAGATTTCGACCCGTTTATGTACACGGGTTGACACGACACGACACGATATTTAAATGGGTAGAGTTAGGGTCAAGACTTTCAACTCGAAGATGACCCGTTTAATTATATATATATATATATATATATATATATATATATATATATATATATATATATATATATATATATATATATATATATATAAAGGGTTATTTGGAAAACAAAAAAACCCTAAAAATCATAAAAATGCATAAAAAAATACTTAGAGATCACAAAACTTTTTTTGAATTTTTTTATGAAAAAATCGCAACTTTTTTAATAAAATCGCTGAAAAAAAAAAAAAATCAATTTTTTTTTATAAAAAAGAAAGTTTTTTTTTTCAAAAAAAATTTCAGCGATTTTGTATTAAAAGCAGCGATTTTTTCATAAAAAAATTCAAAAAAACGTTTTGTGATCTCTAAGTATTTTTTTTATGCATTTTTATGATTTTTAGGGTTTTTTGTTTTCCATAGAACCTAAACCTATATATATATATAT